GAGGTGGCGCTCCACAAGTCCGAGGCCATGTGTTTTCTATGGCCGTCGGAGCGCGCCACCTCCAGGTGGGTCCCAAATAACGGCAGGAGGAGTTACCATCGGCGTCGAGTCGGCGATGAAGTACCTGGGTCTCGTCCTCGACAGCCGATGGAACTTCACGGAGCATTTTCGTCGTTTGGCCCCTAAGTTAGAACGGTCTGGGGCCGCGCTCAAGCGGCTCCTTCCCAACCTCGGGGGGCCAAACGCCTCCTGCCGGAGGTTGTATATGGGGATTGTGCGATCCATGGCCCTCTACGGTGCCCCTGTGTGGGCGCCGGCCTTGAAGCGGCGGCCGGCTCGTACGCTGGTCGCGTCCCAGAGGGTCATGGCTATTCGAGTAATCCGCGGGTATCGCACGATCTCCGGGGAGGCGGCGAACCTCCTTGCCGGATCACCGCCGTGGGATCTAGAAGCGAAGGCGCTCGCGCGCGTCTACAGTTTGCGCGCAGACGCGCGTCGCCGGGGCGAAGATCCTCTGCCGCGCCAAATTAGTGCGTGGCGGAATGAGCTCCGGCGAGATCTCATGGCAGAGTGGAAACAGCGACTGTCGCAACCGAGGGCCGGGCACGCTACCATAGCAGCGGTAAGACCCCTCTTTGAGGAGTGGCTTGAGAGACGCCACGGCGTCCTCACCTTCCGTCTGACGCAGGTGCTTACGGGCACGGCAGCTTCGGTAGGTTCCTGTTTCGGATTCAGCGGGAGGAAACGCCCGAGTGTCGTCATTGTGAGACCACCTAGAGGATACGGTGGAGCATACGGTAGCGGTATGCCGGCCTGGGCTGAGCACCGCCGTATCCTCAGGGAAGTGATCGGCGGCGGCGACCTCTCGCGCCCGGCCTTAGTCGAGGCCATGGTGCGGAATGAGAGGAACTGGGACGCCGTCTCCTCCTTTTGTGAAGCAGTCATGCTCGCAAAGAGAGAGGCGGCCCGCGTGAGGCAGCAATCCTCCTCCTCACGCCCCAGCAGCCGCAACTGGCGACACTACGGGCGTCGGGGATCGAGGGACGATCTCCGGCCACCGTAAGTACGGGCCTGCGGTCGGCGAGTAAGGGCAGCTCGCCGCCCGACCAGAACCAGGCCCGAGCGTACGGCGCGTAGCGTTCCGCGCGCGCCTCAAAGAGCCAATAGACCACCACAGACGGGGCCCTAAAGGGCTGATGTTCAGCCGGGGTTGCGGGGTAAGCGCAATGAGGTACCGCGACCTCGGCACAGAGCAGGAGAAGGAACAGGGGGGTTTTTAGTCAGTAAGAGTCTGACACTCCCTCCTGCCCGGCCCTGGGCGGGAGAAGTCATTTGATGATTTTCCCCTCACAAAAAAAAAAAAAAACCTCCGGGCAACTACGGATTTGCACAACTAACAGGACACAAGATACATGAACCTAAGCATTCCTTTAAATACTAACAATTTGTCTGTTTATTTGTGCTTGTTCCTTCACTTGGAACGTGTAAATTGCGTAGGAGTTAAGGGTCAACAGTAACTGTGAACGAAGGTTTTAAATAGTGGCTAATTGGCCTGGTATTTAGTAAAAAACTGCTCGATCGATTTTGTGCAAACTTCACATAAACCATCAACTAAGTAACGAAGTCTAAGGATAAGAAAGACCGTTCTTGAGTTGTAAAATACGACGAGAAATGGCATTGATTTTATAGTATTTATAGGTATTTTATTTCCAAAAAAAGATACCAAAGCTGCGGACGACGAGCAAGGGTAGCTCGCCATCCTACTGAAACCAGACCCAAGCAAACAGCACGTAATGTACCGCATGCGCCTCGAAGACCCAATAGACCACCACAGGCGGACGAGTTTGACGAGGAACGCCGACTTATTTCAATCCACGCTGAAGCCACGCTGGGTCTTTCGCGAGCAGCATTGCGCGAAACCGCGCGAGAGTTCCTAGTTAATAAATAAGTTGGTTGTGTTCATCATCATCATCATCAGCCCATATCCGTCCACAGCTGGACATAGGCCTCTCCAAATAAACGCCAATGAGTTCAATATTCATCGTTTCTCATCCGTCCACTGCCAGCCATCTTAAAAATATCGTCATATACGTCGCGTCCTAGTTAGTGTAGTCCTTTTTGTGTTATTTTTATCATCGATTTTTTTTAAGTGATAGATCGGCAAACGAGCAGACGGATTACCTGATGGTAAGTAATCAGCGCCGCCCATGGACACCCGCAACAGAGAAGTTACGAGTGCGTTGCCGACCTTTTAGGGATTAGGGATTTGGAGATTTAAGGATTAGGGGTGGGAAAGGATTGGGCCTCCGATAACCACAAATACACGGCAAACACAACGCTGTGGTTGTTTCACGCCGGTTTGCTGTGAGGCCGTGGTATCACTCCGGTCGAGCCGGCTCATTGGTGCCGAAGCATGGCTCTCCCACACTTAAACTTAGATGCTTGAAATAAAGGGATGAATAAAATAGAGAGCTGTCCCTTAAACAATAAGCAGTGCGATCCACGCTTACAAGACACGCTATTTAGTTGTGCAGCCAAGTAAAAAATCGTCGCCCTCGGAAATGTAAAAAAAATATTATGTCGATTGTTGTAGGCACAAGTTTAGTGAATGGGCAGCCTTGCGTGACGCTTTGGGTGACAGTAGCGTACTATGAATGGGTAAGCTTTATTTTGAAAAATCAACAAAGTTAAATGGCTGATTGTTCTTATTTTTTTAACCAACTTCCAAAAAGGAGGATGGTTCTCAATTCGACCGTATATATGCTTTCTTGGCACCGACTTCAAGATTATTAAATATTATTTTCTATTAATTAAATGAAAATATGTATTACTTTAAACAAAGTAAATTTATTTTCTGCTTTTTAGTTTACTTTTTGAAGTCGGTTTTTTTTTTATTATTTATGTATCAGGACGGCCAACGATTACCTGATGGTAAGCAAACATCGCCACCCATAGACACCCGAAACAACGGAGGAGTTACGAGTACGTTGCCGATCGTTTGGGGATTAAAGATTTGGAGATTTTTGGATTGGGGAGGGATTAAGAAAGGGAAGGTATTGGACCACAAAAAGGTTGAAAACCACACTTGCGTTGTATTTCGCTCTGTTGCTCTGTTGACCCAATCCTACCCTTCCCATATCTCCAAATTCTCAAACGTCTAGCAATCTCCAAATAGTTGGAAACGTAGTTGTATTGCCTCGATGTTCCCATGGGTGTCCATGGACGATTGCTTACCATGATCTGGATTCCGGTGATCCGTCTGGTCATTTGCTATAGTTATTTATCTCATAAAAATCACATGATTTAATCCCCAAAATAAAACTTTTTACTATACTTGACAGTGTATTAAAGAAGTGTCTTATATAGCCTCCGTGGCGCAATGGCTAGCGCGTTCGGCTGTTAAGCGAAAGGTTGGTGGTTCGAGCCCACCCGGGGGCGATTTAATTTATACACAAGTAAAAGATTTTTGTTTAAAAAATCTAAATGATTATAATTCAAATATATAAACTTGGATAGTTAACATCTAAATATTCTACAAGCAAACTATTCTTGTTTCGTCAATCCAGCAAAATCATACTGATCCAACTTAAACTAAACAACTTAAATTAATCTGGTTTAGTTGGAATAAATGATTTTGATTTGATTTGATTTGATTAATATAGGTTTATCTTACTAAATTTTCTTTCAATATTGTTACCTCCTTTGTATTATTCCGAGCGTACGGCGCGTAGCGTTCCGCGCGCGCCTCAAAGAGCCAATAGACCACCACAGACGGGGCCCTAAAGGGCTGATGTTCAGCCGGGGTAGCGGGGTAAGCTCAATGAGGCACCGCGACCCCGGCCCAGAGCAGGAGAAGGAACAGGGGGTTTTTAGTCACTAAGAGTCTGACACTCCCTCCCGACCAGCCCTGGGCGGGAGAAGTCATTTGATGATTTTCCCCTCACAAAAAAAACCTTTGCATTATCTTCTATGTTGTGGATGCGTTCATTAACATACAATTTCAGGCCCGGAACAACAATTACTGAATCACACAAATAGTTGTTCCGTGCTGCAATATTACCCGCGATACGTTGCACAGCCTGCAGCCAATGCGCAAACCATGGTGGTAAGTAATTCTTATAATTGGAAAACTAAAATTTCTGGTAACCTAAACAATTAAGTACGATAGTTCCTTTGCAAGGGTAGAGACTTCTCATGCATAGTGGGTTCGAAACTTGGCAAGAACCAATACGTCTTTTTTCGAGTTATTGATATACTTTTTAAGTTCAGATGGCATAATGTGGCAATATTTCTTGTTATTTAGACGTATAATTTTTAATCTGAGCGCCATAGTTCGGCACGAATAGGTCGGCTCGATTGGATTGATACCACGGCTTCACAGAAAACCGGGAAACAAGCACAGCGTTGTGTTTCGCCGTGTAAGTGAGGTAACAGGAAGCCCCAATCCTTCCCCTCCCCCATTCTTAAATCTCCAAATTCCTTACGCCCAAAAGATCGGCAACGCACTCGTAACTTCTCTTTTGTTGCATGTCCATGGGCGGTGCTGATTGCTATTTTATTAATATTAATTGGTAATATTGATTGGTAAAAAAAACTTTAGCTATCGTCAATCAGCCTTAAGCAAGGGTGGTAATTAATGCTCAGTTCTCCGTGTGAGAAGAGGCCTTTACTCAGAAGTGGGCACTTATACTCAGATCATAAAAATGGTGACGATGATAAAGAATTAGTCAAAATTCTACAGAAACAGCTAAAATATTCGAAGACAAAGTCTAGTTGTATTGATTTACTTGCCTTTATTAACTTTTTTTTATAATTGATTAGCCATCTTGCTTTTAAGAGATATCGTCATCGTATCTTTCACTGCACCAAATAAATGCTTTATCTATCTATCTAGATCTACATACAAAATTTAACTCACCCAATGAAACTATGAAAAACCTCTTCAATTATTTACTATTGTCACAAAAATTTGCTAGTACTTTTGAGTCAAACACACTTGTTTACTTCGGTGGACATTGGTTCTTTTTATTGGCAGGCCGTTCTGGTGGAGGTGGAGGCATGTCATCACGGCAAGGCAACCGTTCCCTCAAAGTTATATTATGACCACAAGTCCTATTGAAGATGGTCAGAGCGAATTTTCCAACATTATATGACATAAGTCGAAAAACTTCATCCGTCTCTTTCGGAAAGCATAAAGCACCAGCAGCCAACGCTCCAAGACTTGTAAAGAATACTTTTCGTGGAATTCCTTTTCCAGAACCTATGTAGAATCCAGTTGCAGCACCGGCTACCACCACAGCCTGTCTTATAGCATAATTCTCAGGTGCCCTCATAAACTTTTTGAATTCAGCCTTCTTTTTGTAACACACAGCGCTTGCATCTGACGCTAATTCGCCAGCGTCTTTTTTGAAATCTTGTATCGAATCCACCCAACTTTTTCTATAGCTTTTTACCTTTGGATACAAATAAGTATGAAGGATTTTCACGTTTGCTTTTGGACATTTCTTTTTGTCTTCGATGTAATCTTTATATTCGTAGTGTGGGCTCTCGTAAATGGGTAAGTCCTGGTATTTCATTTTTGGTGGTTTTGGTGGTGGTTCATTTTCAGCTTTTGCAGCTTTTACTACTGGGATTAATGATAGATTGGAGCCAACCAGGGCCTTTTTAAGTGTTTGCATCCAAATTCTGCCGATGACATAGAGGTCCCCATGACATAATTTACTCACAGACCCTATCATTTCTGCCTCTGAACTGAATATAGCATCCTGTTGTTCATCTTCAATAAATGGAGCCGCTTCTATACTACATGAATTTTGCATTTTATGCCGTAAATTTTATATGTTTATAATTTTATTTGCTATGTTGTGTTGTGTTTACAAAAATTTTGACATCGACGTTTAGGGATATTTTTCCGGTTTGATATCTGTGTGACGCTTGTTGAAAGAGGTTGTCTTATTTTTGTATCTGTAAATAGGTTTGTTATATTGTGTCATGAATTTATTGTATTTTGTAAATAGATTCCGAGTCAAGCCTCAACCATCTTCTGAACCTACTGCAACTCCTCTAAGCGAAGAAGAGATGTCCAGGGACATAAATATCTGTCTTAGTTCCCACAACGAAATACATTGGAAAACATTATTAAATTAGAAGAACAAAATATTTTCCATGGTGAATTTTAATTTAAGAGCCATACAGACTTAAGTTTTAAAGGGGCACGAGACTGCACTACCGGAGCAAAACTCGGTCTGTAATCATCATCATCAGCCTATAAATGCCCACAGCAAGAATGTCATACGCACCTCGTTCCTTCTCCTGCTCCAGGCTGGGGCCGCAACACATTATAGCTCTTGCACAACAATCTCGGATGCCTGACCTCTAAGTCAAGAGTACAACTATCAACCACTCAACCAGTAACCGTTGAGGAAGGATATATACACAAACCTATTTTATTTGCACAACCATCAATATCAGCCTATCAGTGCCCACTGTTTTTTTAATTTTAATTTTAGAAAACGTTGACCCACATTAGGATTTTCCTCTGTGTCGTGGGTGCGGTTACAAACATACAATTTCACATACACATGACACCCAGACCCGGCAACAATTTGTGCATCACACAAAGAGTCGTTCCGTGCGGGAATCGAACCCGCGACACGCTGCACGGCAGCCAGTTGCCCAGCTACCGCACCAACCGTGCAGTCATTGTTGAGCATTCACTGTTGAGCAAAGGCCTCTTCTTACATGGAGAAAGTCTGAGCATTAATCACCGTGCTTGATCATGGAGGATCAGCGATTTAAAAAATTTTATTGGAAAAATATAAGTCTAGGTTTCTTCACGATGTTTTCCTTTACCGTACGTCAGTCGGTAATATTGTAGTTCTATTGCAAACTTTCAATCCCGATATCGAAAAAGAAATAGCAAAGATCCCTGACCATAATTTCTTCTTGCTAGTCAACCTTAAAATCCACCTTTTCTAGATATTAGTTGCTTGTATACAAAACATGATGACATGACTCACTGAGACACAACCAAAGAAATGCAATTTGACAACAAAACTCAAGAGATTCCTGGAACTGACTCATATTGCTGTTAACATTTAAACTTTTTTTGACCATAAAGTGAATTTTATGACTTACCCACGACCTTAAGGTATTAAGACCTCTACTGGTGAGACCTTTAGCATATAACAGGCAATGTTGAGAAGGTCTGTTTAGTTAAATAAGTATCTAAATGTTTGAAAATTATTGCTTTGATGATAATTATGCTGAGAGTTGATCCTCTGGATCAATATTTGGCAATAATAATATAGAACTAAGGTAAATAAATTTTTTATTGTACACTTACAAGTTTGTGACATGCGGATAAAATTGCATAGGTAGTGTACAGTTTCATTAAAAATTCAAATATTATAATTCTTAAAATAATGTATAAAATGACATACATTTTCACCGTATTAATTAAGTATTAGACAATACTTATAAGCGTGGATGTTGATCTAATACTTAATTAGGTTTAATTATTTTTGTATTTGAGTTTTCTAATATTATTCATTTTTCTACTCGTAAGGTCCCTTTAAAATGGCTGTTCTGATTGGCTGGCTGTTGGGCCATACATACATTCATACGATTGGAACGGAATTAACCTTCTGAAGTTTATACTTTTGGATTGTCCATTTAATGTTTTCGGAATTAAATACTTTTAACTCTCACGCGCTAACCCTTAACGGGGTAAGCAGTAATCGTAGTTAACACGATATGTTACTGCAGTGAACTGCAGACAGCTATTTTTATTGTTTTACTAAATAGGTAGTCCAATTGTCTTGCGTCATTGTTTACAAGAAATGTCACCGCTGTATATCGAACTTCCCACGTTTGAATTCCTGGCTTGATTTAATCACAAATAATCAGATTCATTTCTGAACAGCCACATAATCATACAATTCTTACAACATAAAAAAATTGTATTCATGCTTTTACATAATATTTTCTTGCTATGCACAAGATCATATTTTGTTATGTATATTGTCTAGCATTTGGGGTGTTTTCTCTTTTAGAAGTCCAAAGTCACCTGTTAGTAGTCTCGCTCCGCAGCATGGCCTCGACTAAGGCCGGGCGCGAGAGATCGCCGCCGCCGATCACTTCCCTGTGGACACGGCGGTGCTCAGCCCAGGCAGGGCATACCGCCACCGTATGTACCACCGTATAGGGATTGGATTGGGCCTTCAGTGACCTCACTCACTCGGCGAAACGACTGCACGGTTGGCGCGGTGGCTGGGCAACTAGCTGCCGCGCAACTTGTTGCGTGCAATTAATTTTAGCATGCCCTGTAAACGCTCTTGAATACTATTGTTTCATTAAAAAAGTATATAGCCTCCGTGGCGCAATGGCTAGCGCGTTCGGCTGTTAACCGAAAGGTTGGTGGTTCGAGCCCACCCGGGGGCGGTATCTTTTTTAACTTATTCTTTTTCATCACATCACATCACCAGCCTCTAAGGCCTCTTCTCACATATGTAGAAGGTTTGAACATCAAGGTGGATTGGCAATCCTAAACTTATAATTAGAAATGATAAGTCCAGGTTTCATCACTATATATTTTCCTTCACCGTCTGTCAATAGTGTCTAAATAATCATAGAAAGTACATATAACTCGGAAAAAGTCACATTGGTACTGACTTGCCAGGTTTCAAATCCTCGTGCATGAGACTGGGCGCTTTAACCTCTAGGCCACCACGACGTCAGTGGTAGACCGTGCGGTGGTAAATAGATGCAGTTATTTTTATCAACATTGTAAATGACCTCACCATGGCGGGATATGGTTCCTAGTGGGATCCAATTGTGGTAGTCTCATGTCTTTGATGGTCTGATTCTGGTCGGACGGCGAGCTACCAATCCTCGCCATCCTCGGACCCACGTTTGCAGTGGCCAGAATTGTTGCACGATGAAAATATATCATTGTGTGGAAATATATCTTTTTCTCAAACACAGATCACCTAAGGGTCAATAACCTTTTCAACTTGCATTTCTTTAACTTAAAACCTTTTTTTTGCAATCTCTTTGTGTGTGACAATGTAATATATTGTTTGGAGATACTGTTGACGGTAATCCCTTTATTTTGACCTCAAAATGATGAATGCTTGCCATTGGTAGGTACCTTTTAAATAAGTAGTTTTTCACCGCAACTGTGTCCGCGTGACTAAGCGTATATTATATGAATCTATGTATGTTTTCTTCAATCTCAAGGAGGTTTACTGAGTAAGTATCGGTAAGAGCGCTACGATGGAAACTTTTTTTTTTAATAGCCTGCCATGTAATGTCCTACTGTTGGGCAAAGGGCTCCCCATCTCGCTTCCACATCTCCCGATCCTCTGACTATGCCGAGCAGTCACGACGATAGGCGTTTAGACCCTCATGTCATCATTTCCGGGGCCTAGATGGGGCCCTATAGGGTTGATGTTCAGCCAGGGTTGCAGGGTAAGCGCAATGACGCAGCGTGACCTCAGCCCAGAGCAGGAGAAGGAACGGGGTTTTTTTATCTTTTCCGGGACCTACTCCGCCTGCGAGGTCCATCCTGAGGTGTCCACTGGGTGTCAATAGTGGGCCTTCTCTCCGGATGCATTTGGCTGACAATTTCGCCGGCTTTTGGAACACATCAAATTGTTTGTTGAAGGAAAATTATAAGTTGACTTTTCGCACCCAGAGTAAGGCGCAGTAAGTGTGGGAGAGCCAAGTTTTGTAACGAATGGGTCGGCTCGACCGGAGTGATACCACGGCCTCACAGAAGAGCGGCGTGAAACAACCACAGCGTTGTGTTTCGCCGTGTGAGTGAGGTTAGCGGAAGCCCAATCCTTCCCATCCCCCAATCCCTCCTCAATCCCTAAATCTCCAAATCCCTAATCCCTAAAAGGTCGGCAACGCAAACCCCTCCTTTGCGAGTGTCCGTGCGCTGATTGCTTACCATCAGGTAATCTGTCTGCGCGTTTGCCGACTTATTACATAAAAAAAGGCTAGAGGGAGTATCAGACTGTTACTGACTTAAAACCTTCAGTTCCTTCTCCTGCTCTAGGCTGAGGCCGCGGCACCTTATTCAGCTTGACCCACGACCCCGCGCTTACGATGGCCGGAGTGTCGCGTACTGTGGCGGCTGGAGCGTCAGGAAGATGATTTCCACAAGCCCTTTGCAATCTCCTTTGCTTCCACTGCTGGGCAGATAGAGGAGACGGCTTTCTAGTTCCTCTTCCTCAACACCATGGCCTTGGTAAGGGTTGGATGCGAGATGTTGCCGCTGCCGTTACTTTCTATTATAAATAATGTAATATGTCAGTAACAATATTCTAACATAATATTATAATACAATAAAATAAAATAATATAATATTATTATCCAAAGCAAACGATTTGACAATAACCGAAATCAGACTCTATTTTTAAAATGGCAACACTTACTCAAATCGATTGCGAACTCAATCGATACTTGATTTCGGCTATTCGATTAACCGAAGCATTCCGTCTCGATTGCATGAAAAAAAATGAAACGAAAACCGTTTCCTATGTACCATGTAGAACGATTCTTAGCTACAAAGTTATTCATTCACTCTAAAACAAAGTTCGTAATATTTAAGTCTATGAGAATAAAAACGAAGTTTCTGTGGCTGAAAGTTTTTCAGGTACTTGTGTATCGCGGTTTTAAAGACTAGGATGAGGTCGTTTGGTCTGTCCCTTTGATACCATATTGACGTAATTTTGAATGGATTTTTGATTTGAAATTCAGCTGAAATGTATGAGATTTTGTATGAAAGATTTATTAGTATGTGTTGCACATA